GCCAATCTTCTATCTTCTATATATATAAAAATGGATTGCTGTTCCTTAGTCTCGCTAAAACTCGAGAACAGCTGAACCGATTTGGCTAATTTTAGTCTTGAAATACTCCTGGAAGTCCGGGGAAGGTTTAAAAGGTGAGAAAATGGGAATAATTGCCGAGAAAACCCTAAAAACAGCCCTTTTCTATTTCCCATACAAACGTGTTTTTTTTTTTTGACATTAGATTTGACAACTAACTAATATGTCAATCATTCTGTTTGATTGAAACAGGAAAAACCTGATTATTTATGGCCTCTAAAACGGAATAGAGTTCGCCTGGTCAGCTATACCTACATATATTACTCTTGACCAAACTAACGCGGACGAAGTCGAGGGCAAAAACTAGTATTTTATAATTACTGATTTGTTAAATTAAATTTGTAAATAAGAATTATTAAACAGCTGATAACGTGTGATTTGATTAGACACCACAATATCTACGACAAAGTTAAACACAGTCGGCCTGTTTAAATAGTGTGTATCAAAATATTTACAATAATTTAAAGATGATAAACAAACTTACAGTTTAATTTGCACTCGCACGGCGTTGTCGTTTTAAAACATTTTCAAAATGTCCACCGCCTTGTTTTATGCACTTTAATGACCGTTTTCGCAATTGTGGTTTTATTTTAGATAATACTGCAATGTCACTTTTCACTTTTACAAAGGCGGTTATTATCTTATTTTTTAGTTCCTCGGCACTTGTTATCTCTGTGTTATAAACTAGCGGTTTAATTCGCCCCCACAAAAAAAAGTCGAGTCGCGTCAAATCAGCTGATCTAGGAGGTCAATGGACACGTGCGTAGGTATTTGATGTATTGAATGTTAGTGTACCGAAACGACACAGCGAAATGCGCGACTAAAATTTTATTTGCACTTTACACTTGACCTCTTTTCGATAAGGTGGACGCGGCGTGACTAACTTACCCAAAACACATTTTGTTGACTTCGATGTTTAGTTATTATTACTCTGTTTCCTGGAATTAGCCTGCCGTCTCTCTCTATTGTAATGTTATTTAGCCGAAGAAAGAAGGAGAAAGTAATAATTTTTGTATTACGCGGCTTTCTTTTAAGCACTGTAGTGACCTTGCTGTGTGCTGGTTGTCGCTATGGTGTTGCGTGCGTAGTTATTTTTAAATACTATTGTAGCCTTGAAATAAGTATCAGTTTTCTTTAATTGAATGATGATTACTAATTAAATATTTCATTTTAAAAATCTTAATACCCTGACTTACGATCCATTTTCGTTTCCATTAATTTTCGTTTCTATGAAGTGTTTAGATAACTGTGTGTAGTAGGGTGACTATAATTTACTTAGTTCTATCTAAATTTGAGAAAAAAAAAATGACCTACATAAAAAACTATCAAAATCGATCCAGTATCCGATTCTGATCAAACTACTTTCAGGGTGTGCGTTAATTATGTTACACGTTGTATATGTATAACTCACATTCTCATGTATTACATAGTAATGTTATATAGTTATATGTCCCATTGTATTTGTAGTGATTTTATGTAGGTATTTATTTCTAAGAGAGAAACACGCGTCCGTTCGATAGTGCAGAACTGACGCATAGTAAAAAATGTCCATCCTACCAACGTCATAGTATTATACTTAAATTCATTCTGGATCTCCACACCATACCTTGGTTCATCTGAAATATTATATACAGCATGCATAATTAAATTATTCTTGGACAAAGTTCGGCAAATAATTGATTTTTTTAAATATTTTATGAGTGAATTCTTGAAGTGAAACTTCTTATGCGACTACCAACAAGGTTGCGTTAAACGTTTAACTTAGGGAAAGAAAGATATACAAATGTAGAAAGTAGGAGAGACATTGAGAGTAGATTCCAAGCACATGTGCAATTGTGCATAGTACTGTTGCTTACAGCGAAGTAAACAGTGTGAACGCGACATTAACTGAAACACCAATTTGTATTATATTAATTTATGTATATACATATAATTCATTTCCTCAGTTAGTTGTGGCCTAGTGGTTAAAAGTCCCGCCTCTCATGCATGAGGGCGCGGGTTCGGTCCTGGCAAATACCAATGTGATTTTTCCGAGTCATATGTACTTTATAAGAGTACTAGCTGACCCGGCAGACTTCGTACTGCCTCAATCAAGAAATATCTATTACGTTTTTTATTTTATATTTTTGGAGTTTACCTGTAAGCCATAAATCTCCGTGTTTTGAAGTGCGACAGAATGATTGACATATTAGTTAGTTGTCAAATCTAATGTCAAAAAAAACTTTTGTATGGGAAATAGAAAAGGGCTGTTTTTATGGTTTTCCCAGTAATGAATAAATTTTTTTCAGCTTTTATACCTTCCCTGAACCTCCACGAACGTTTCAAGACTAAGATAAGATAAATCCGTTCAGCTGTTCTCGAGTTTTAGCGAGACTAAGGAACAGCAATCCATTTTTATATATACAGGGTGACTGGTGAATCACTATCAATATTTAAGGAGAATACTCGGTACATGATTCTCATTCGAATTATGTAAAAAAAATAGGCACTTAATTTTTGACAAAATTTCCGTATAAATAAATAAAGTGTTGACACGTTCCAAGTGTTCCAAGTGTGGACGCGTGCGGCGGCGTGCTGATACAACACCACGCCCCCTCACGCGTATGTGTGAGTGTGTGTGTATACCTAATCTGTAGGGTGTTCACACGATGCGTAATTAATTACATAACTTTTGGTTAACTTTACTTAGAAGTTTATTAATATTTATGTTATATTAATTTTTATTTTGTCATACATGATCGTCAAATATCACGTCCTCAAATATCGATAGTAATTCACCAGTCACCCTGTATAGAAGATAGAAGACTAGTAAACCTGGCGAACTCCGTTTCGCCACCAGAAGGCTTTTATATGTAGAACATTTCGTTTGGTGATTAAAAGATGAAGAATTTTTTGTTTTATATTTGAAAAGGAAAATTTTTATTTCATTTCACAACAGTAATGAATTCGTTTCGATTACAAAAATGAAGTGTTATTTAGTTGAACTTGTCTAAGTAAATGAAAGTGAATCCAAAGTAGATACCGAATCGAAGCGTTATACGTGTCCGCAAATTATCCGTTTCATAGAAGTGCTCCTTTGTAAACCACATTTTTTGTTTTTTGGTCTAACTTTAACACAAATAAAGCGTATGGTTTCCAAGCTCGTGAACACGCAGAATATAACTGCCCATGTGAAAAACAATGATTTTCTAAATTTATCCCGCAAATACTAAATGGTTTTAAGAGTTCAATCTACAAACACAATACCTAAATATTTTTATTTTTATATAGTAGATTTCTTACAAATATCTAATTGTCATCCATACGTCATTACATATCTGTCATTATACGTCAATTGTGTTATTCCACGTTTTATAGTGACTGACGTTTCATGTCAAGTCCCACGGGAATGCTGTCGAACGGGATAAAAAGTATCCTATTGCAATTTCCTGGTTCTAAACTATCTCCCTGAAAATTTTCAGCTGAATCGGTTCAGCCGTTCTTGGGTTATAAGTGAAGTCACTAACACGACTTTCTTTTATATATATAGATTTAGACATCACTGATTAATGCATTCCAAAAGAGGTTTGACGTCAGTCAGGCGTCCGGTCGTAAAAACAATTAGGCAAAACTATTCACACATCTTAGGCAGACCCTGGCTAAAAGCTGGGAAATTGCCACTAAGAAGAAGATTAGTTTATGCATATACATATAATTTATTTCCCTACTCCACTCACTAAACTATAACGATCACATTCCAGATCAAGCAGCTGTGCCTGGAGCTTGAAGAGGCGTACTCCTCTGTGTCATCAGCGGCGGAGGAGCGCGCGGCCCGGCTGGAGGCGGCGCTCAAGGCCCAGCAGTTCCTGCATGATGCAGCGGAAGTAGACTCCTGTCTGGCTGACAAGGCCGCCGCACTGGCTTCCGGTGACGTCGGCAATGATAGGCATAGAGCGACGCAACTACTCACACGGCATAAGGTAATATACACATATATACATAGCTAAGAATTACATTTTCGTCATATCACACAATTTTTGAGCTACAAGAAATGATAAATCACTATATACGAGTATATGTAAGTCATCAAGTGACTTATGAAGTGAAAATTTATCAGTCATTGGGTAGGATCAAATATTTATAAAACATATATTAAAAATAGGGGTTGGTGATAGAAGAGTGATAATTTAGGGTTGTATGTATTTTATAATGCCACATTATGAAAGGTTGTCCAAAAAAATTAAATAAGGTGTTAAAAGTGGGCCGCCCTTATACTTAGGGGTATAAAATGTAGATAGTAGCCAATTGTTAAAATTATTGAATATGCATATAAAGTTTCATAAAAATCGGTTAAGCCCTTTGGCAGGAGTATGACATCTAACATATATACAGGGTGACTGGTGAATTACTATCAATATTTGAGGACGTGATATTTGACGATCATATATGACAAAATAAAAATTAATATAACATAAATATTAATAAACTACTAAGTAAAGTTAACCAAAAGTTATGTAATTAATTACGCATCGTGTGAGCACCCTACAGATTAGGTATACACTGACACTCACACATACGCATGTCGTGACGTAGTGTTGTATCAGCACGCCGCCGCACGCGTCCACACTTTAACACTTGGAACGTGTCAACACTTTATTTATTTATACGGAAATTTTGTCAAAAATTAAGTGCCTATTTTTTTTACATAATTCGAATGAGAATCATGTACCGAGTATTCTCCTTAAATATTGATAGTAATTCACCAGTCACCCTGTATATGGACTTAAATTAGAAGAAGTTGTCATTATTTAAATTTCTAACACTTTCAATTAACAGAAATATAATAATACAGAGTATATTCAGCATTATCTTACAATTCCTCTTTAACCTACCAACAGGCCGTAGAACTCGAGCTGGACACATACGCGGCGATCATAGCGGAAATGGGTCACGTGGCGCAATCCATGGCTTCCGGTGGTCATCCTGAGGGTGGCGCGCTGGTCACTAGACATGACCAGCTGGCTGGCAGTCTGGCTAGGCTGCAGAGACTTGCAGCGAGCAGGCAGGCCGCGCTCATGGAGAGTGTGTGCAGGTGAGAGATACTATATGTATATATATATGTAAGATCTAATTTACATAATCCACAACTCAAATACAATTCATATATTCCAGCAAGACCTGGCAGCGTCTGGTAGAAAAGATCCAGTCCCGCAACCAGCGCCTGGCTGCTGCTGGCGAGATCCACCGCGACGCCGGGGACCTGCTGGCGCGGGCCGGGGAGCGACGGACGGACTCGCCCCGCCCCCCGCGCCCCGCGACCTGCGCGCCGCCACCGCCCTCTTGAGGGACCACGACGCAGCCGAGAACGATATGGTCGCTATAGACGCGCAGACTTGAGAAAATTATGACTTTAAACATATTATGTATTTTAAACTAAAACTTCGACAATCATAATAAATGTATCACTAGGTAGTTTAACATATTCTTACAATAAATTTTGCTTTAAATATAAAATTTAAAATATACACCCTCGAAGCAACAATAATTGTGTACAAAATAGTGATAAGAAATGCAAACTAATAGACACAGAGTAACTATTAAGATTGACTTATAATGAAATCTAAGATTTTGGCGAGTATTCATTTAAATAAGGGGTTCCCAACCTTTTTTTAGTTCCGGACCACTTTTATATTATTCTTGTTAGCAGGGACCACTATGTAAGTATAATAAAAATAAACTGTAATAATCAAACTGAAACTTTAATTAACAAATCAATAGGATATAACAAAACAAGAAATAATAATATTTTTAGGATAAACTTCTGCAATTTTGTATTAATGTGATTTCTGAGCTTGCATTTTCTTCATGAGTTCGGCTATCCTAGGACTAATATTGTTACTCAAAGCTTACTTCACTTACTTTCAAACGAATCCTCGCTTTGTTTTTAATTACCAATAAAGCAGAAAATCCTTGTTCACATAAATAAGTTGTTGAAAAAATCATAAAATAGCGCAAGGCCATTTCTCGAAGTTTAACATAAGAAATTGCTTTTTTACACCAAAACGACTCAAGACCCACCGCCCGCTAAATTTAAAATCATTTGCGGACCATATTTTGGCTTCTGTGGACCATTGGTGGTCCACGGACCACTGGTTGGGAACCATTGATTTAAATGAAACTAATATTTCTTGGATGAACGTTTTGATAAAAAAATACATATTTCCGACGTTTCGTTTACTTTACAGAATCATGATCACGGGCAGACGCTATGATAAATATTAGTTTCATTTAAATTAATACTTGTCAAAATCTATTTCATAATATCATAGCTCCTCACTTAATGTAGCCTAATTCTGCCTAAATAAGATTTTAACTGATTTTTGCAGTATTTTATAGTTGTAGTAATATACTTCCTGGCCCAGGCAAGTACCAATGGGATTTTTCCGAGTCATATGTACTTTCTGAGAATATTTACACATCACTGATTAATGCATTCCCAAAGAGGGTTGATGTCAGGCAGGCGGCCGGTCGTAAAAACAATTAGCCAAAACTATTCACAACATGTAAGGTAGACCCTGGCTAAAGCTGCTAAGTTGCCAGGTAGAAGAGAGAGTGGTAGTGATATTAAATCTATTTCCAGGTGCTCCAGGAGGAAGGATCTCGCCTCCAGCGGTTACGCCCCGGCGGTAACTCCCAGCAGATAGCGCTGAGCTGCAGATCTTAGAAGGAAACTGCTGCACCAACACCTGGAATTACAGACCTTCCTATCCGAGGTATTACTGTGGGATTTCACTATTATACAAAACCTTTATGATCTGATAGTGTTTTAATATATTGCTACATTTGATTAATCTATCTAATTTATATATATTTTCTTTATATACTAATTAATTATTAACGATTTTACGCCTATAAATAATGTATCCTTTATGATATTTTTTTTCCATTAAGACATTATTATCACTTATATGAGAATTACACTTATAACAAAAACATTTATGAATATACAGTTCGACATCGCACTTGTAACAAATATTAAATGAAATAACGTTTAATTAAGAGATATTTTTCTATATTACGCACTAATTTAATGGTTATCTTAGTTTTGATTATTTATTATTTAATATATACTATCTGCCCCGCAAACGTTGTTTTGTCATATCAAAAGTAGGGGTTGGTGATAAAAAAAAAAATATTTAGGATTTTATGTATTTTCTTATGCCACTTGATAAAAAAATAAAAACAAAACCTTTCGTCCAAATCAAAACAAAAATTAGGGATGAACAGCCCCTATCACTTAGGGGAAGGAAAAATAGATGTTGGCCGATTCTCAGACCTACTCAATATGCTTACAAAATTTTCCGAGAATCGGTCAAGCCGTTTCAGAGGAGTACGGGAACGAACATTGTGACACGAGAATGTTATTTATAAGTTATATATATATATCATGAATATCGTTCCCCAGCTCCGTGACGTCATCTCGTGGTCGTCATCCCCAGCTGCCGCACGCTCAGCATCAGCGGCACAGGCTCAGAGGGCTCAGAGGTTACTACACCCTGGAACAATATTATACAAAACATGTTAGCAATACTATGTGGGATTAAAAGTAATATTCTTTGTATTTAATAAGTGTTTATAGTAATTTTTTATAACTTAAATTTTTCAGTTAAAGTTTTACAGTTTCTTTCAATACGTTCGTTCGTTTGATTCGTTTTTTTGAATCATTCGAATATAAGTTATAGCATGGCTTAAGTGTTTTTCATAATGAATATAAAACAAATTTAAAAGACTGCTGTAATCACAATTCAAATAAATAAATTAAAGATTAACTCTTAAAGATACCAAATATGTATGATATATCCGTTCTATGTATATTAACAAAAATGTGATGATAACTTTGTCATAGCTAATTGGCTGTATTTTTGTCCAATAGAACTGCAAAACCTATTTTTATGAAATAGATTACGTTAGATATCACTTGAACCTATGTGTTTTTAGTGTGACTTCTGACCTTACGATATATTTGTATATTAATCTTTGTATTAAGTATTCTCACTTTTGTCTTTGTTCAAAATAATTTTTGATGACAGTTTGATCAGTAAATAAAAATCATTTAATCTTAAGTATTGTTGTTTGTTGGTTCTGAAAGAAAAATACCTTTCGACAATGTCTAATATATTCTAAAGATTTCTTGCCTTCCAAGGTTCGTTATTTGGTTTCGTTTCGTTACATCTGGGAAACACCTGAAAAGGGAATAAAATTTAAGAGCAGTAAAAAATCTGGTAAATTACTCAACTGCAATCAATTTCAAAGTTAAAGAAAAAGGTATTGTAAAGCTGGCATAATAAAACTATGAACTATTTAAATCACTTTGATGATAAATTACAGACAGCTTTAATCGAACTTGTTTGAAATTTTCAGCTTTGATATGACGATCTAGCAAATAATAGTCACACAGAATTAAAACATTATCAAATAAAAACTGTTTTTATGAATTATATGTGAGAGTTCCGTCATTAAAGTCACTTTAGAGACGTCGTTGTGTAAACGATGTCACATTACTTTAAATATTTCACGAGTGACAAACAGATGTAAGCTATTTCATATCTCAACAACACTACCTACACTGGAAAACCAATTAAAATTAATTTCCTCATACTCGTATACCTACTACTAAAGTGATATCAGAACTTCCAATAACACATTTCACGAAGGAAATATTTTAAATACAAACACATGTTTAAACTGTGATTGTTTATATTACGAGTAGCTACTCAAGCTACTTACAGCTGTAAGTAAGAGGGAGACGATGGAATAATAATCACTGACGTGTTCTATAAATTTGGTTTTAGTTTCTTTAAAATTTTCCTTTTAAAATCAAACAATACATTTTTTTTCTTTGCTGTGTAATATTTGAACCATGAATATAAAGTTCAACACAAAAAAAATAAATATCGCAATCTTCGTCATCCGCCCTGAAAGTTTAATGATCATGTAACATCTCTGAAAGAACTTCAGCAGAAAACAGAACATTTCAAAAACGACCTTATGTGTTATAATTTTATTGCTGTTCGTTAGTGTCACCAAACCTTGACAACGGCTGAAAGGATTGGAATGTTTAAAAGGTCAATTAATATGAAAATACTTTCGTTTTCACTTTGAAGTGATTAGAAATCAACTTAGAAGAATATTTTAAAATGAATAACTAATAAGAATTTTTTATATCTTTCTAACTACGTAATCATCTTCATTAGGTTAAAAATAAACGTATTTTTTTACTACTCACATTTGGTAGCACAATAATATTAACTTAGTATCAGATTGTTTATATTTCAGTAGAACAATTTTAAATTTCTGGACGCAAACATAATATTTGACGTTTGACAAGCACCTAATTTGTCGATCCATCCTCTATGTCAATTATCAATCGATACTTGAGACAAATAGTTCATTACCGGTGATAGTGACATTTGAAGTTATGTACTGGTTTTTTTTGTTGTTCGTTAGATTTGAATAAAAAGTAACTATTATCCATACCTTCACGCATACAAACTTTCGCTTTTATAACATTTGAGGATTCTGATGCTGAAGATGGTAAGTAAACGTTTGCATGTTCTATGGGTTTCATAATTTCGATTGGCATGGAAATGGTTTAATAGTCAAACCGCTGAAATATAAAAAAAAACCTTTTTTAGTCATACTCTGGACTGAAATTTATGAGGCAACTAATGACTTTTAAATAAAACTAATATTTTGCGGATATACTAAGTGACTTTATTTTTGATTAAAACTACATACTCCCGACGCACTATGGAAGAGCCCCATACAAGGCCGTCTAAAAACCCTTTCACATGAAAGTCGTTGTTATGGAGTAAAACTAATTAATTATTTTAGTCTTATAAATAAGCTTTCTTTTATATAATTTTTAAATGTTTTTTTGCAAACAGTATGTAATGTATGTATATAAAAAGCTATCAAAGCTAACTCATGTTCAATGATGTGATTTTGGCACAATACATTACTACAATTCAACGCCACATTACTCGAAAGTTTTTGATATAAATTTATAAGTATTACATAATTTTGAAATGCTTATAATCTCCTTATAACGTTTCTTAAATAATATTACGTATAATAAATAAATAAATTACAACTAACCAATATAGTTTAAGCTGGTATCATTTTCGGGTTCTTTTTTTTAACGACACCTAACCCTTTACCGCTGTCGAGGTATTTGTTGTTTTACAATCTTTATATATTAGTTTACATAAGGAAATACAAGTTGCGCCTACTTGCGCCTTTTCTGATACGGTGCCAAAACATATTTAAACATAATTTTATATA